ACTAAAAGTCTCTACAAATTTAATAAAATGCTCCTTGCCATCTTCTTGTTTTCTATTAAAACTTAAAACTTGAAACTTATATAATCCTTTGAGTAAGGCCTTACCGTAATGTGGATTGGGTATGAAAGTTTAAGATTAAACTTACTAATAGATTTTGTAAACTTTCATTTGAAGAACTTTTTTAAGTCCACCTCAATAAGGTAGTGGCATTGACCATTGGAAGCAACGAACATAATGAGGTGATTAGTGATCATGTACAATTATATGATATTTGTTTGCTAGAGAAATATCTTCTCTCATCCTATTAAATAGGCAAATAGGATGACCATCAATGTTAATAATTCGTGGTGTCATAGTTGAGGGATAATAGTCTAGGGGATTCCATCCAGTAGATAGTTATGTGATGTTACTAAGGGTTTGGGTAAATACAACATTGTTTCTCTAACGAACTTTGAATATCTATTGTTGTTCATGCTTGTAATCAAATATAAGTATCCTTTATAGCATAAAGACTCGAATTTGGAATAATCATTGCGAGGGCTCGAGTAATGGGTAAGCCACCTTCCGGTGGTGCTTGGCGATGCAAAAAAGTTACTCGTTGTCGATTTGAGGGTTTAGAAGATTGTTGATATTCTCAATATTAAGCAAGTTAGCATTATCAATATTGAGATTAGTATTATACGGGATATCATCATTATTGTAGGTAGTTGAGCTAATAGCATCATTGATGTTCTTTTTAGTTGTCTTGAAAGGGGTCGTTATTCTTCACAAGCACTAACTCTTCGAGTAAAGTCACTTAAATATATAAGGGGTTCTTGATAATTGATTAGACGACTAGTCGGTAGGCTAATCAAGATGTATAAAACTATTGTTGTGATTTGTAGAAGTAACAATCAACCAACCAAACACAAAGAATGAAAATAGTAAAAGACATGGAAGGAAGCGGAGGCAATGCTAGCAAGGTACAAATTGTGTGGCTAATAGGTAGGAAGTCAAAGTTCAAACATGTGAAGCTTTAGGTATTGTCCGATGTGTAAGTATAAGAGCTTTGAGATGAGAACCTTAAGGGTTTCTTTTGTTAGTGATCAAAACTTCGAAATCAAAAGTTTTTTTTTGCTCACAATGATGTGATACTAATATTTATAGTGAAAGAAGATGTCTCTTGATTGCTATAATCATACCACATCATTCAAGTTTAGACCATCAAATTTGGCTTGAAAGATTTAGGTTTATTGAGTTAAACTCGCTTCAACTTACTAGCAAAGGCTAAAGAAAGTAACAATTGAATCTTTCTTTAACGAATCCTACTTCAAGCCCATTAAGCTAATCTCTTTAATACATTCCAATGGACACCGACCCTACTAGAACACCTGTGTCTATCCTTACAACCCATGACCTTATGTTGATCGAGGCTCATTCTTTGTCTAATCTATTTATGGTGTAGTTTATATTTATGTAAAAACTTTAAGAAAAAATAACATACATTAACATATAATAAAAAATTAGCTAAGTTATTTAATTAATTTTTATGGATAAATTGAAAGTATATACTCTCCTTTATAACTAAAATTCACACCTTAGATTATGCTAAAAAAAGTGAAATTCTTATAAAAATTTTTAGCCCTAACATTAGGAGTATTCATTCAATTTTGAAATATTTTGAATGGCTTTCGGTTAACTAAATTTTGAAAAAAAAAAAAAAAACAAAAATCAAATTGAAATGTTATTTGGGTTTTCGATTCGATTTCAAAATATTTCATTTTGGTGTTTGGTAATTTTGTTTTTACCTATTTTATTTGATTTTTTTTTCTACAAATGACTTATTCTATTAAAATTTATGAAATCTTTCTTTAGAGTGAGCTTTTTTCGGCTTTATGGACTACTAGCCAGGAAACTAACTTGTACCCAAAAAAATAGCAAATACATTGATAGGTAAATAAATAATAAATTGTCTACTCAACAAGGCTTTAATTGGAGGCAATAAAAAATCTACCAACGTCTTTGTCTGTTTTGTATACATCTAGACTTGTAGTAGAGACAAAGAAGGCATGTACGAAACTATAAGAGGAAGTGCATCTAGGGGAGAAAGGTTTTTCAATTTGGGGGTGCGAGTGAGTGATTTGACTTTATATATATATATATTAAAAATTTTAGTTTTTTGGGTAGCTAAATTTTTTTAAAACACCGAACTCGAACCCAAACTCGGAACTCAAAATTATTTTAGTTTGTTTTTTAAATTTCTATAAAAAACTACACCAAAATTGATATTTTGGTGCGGTTCAGATCTAGTTGTTCATTTTTCACTGAATAGTGAACATCCCTACCTAACATGGTGGTGGCTTTTATTAAAGAAGAGAAATTAATTTTAACCTCAATGTGTGAAAGCTTATTTGAATATATATTTTTTTGATGGATTTTGTCCAATTTATAAACTTTTTATTTTGAAAATTGTTTTAATTAAAACCTTGTATTTTTTTTTGTATTGATTAAAAAATTCTATTTTTTATTTTATATTGGTTGAGATACTCTGTTATAAACTGCTAGTTGTAAACTTACGTAATGATGACATAGTGCAGATGTGACGTGACGTAGTGCAGATGTAGTGCATCCACTTCTAATTGCATGACATTTGTCATACATAGTATCCTAATTGAAAAAAGTTGAATGCATGAACCCGACTGTATAAAATTTAAAACGCAGAGATCAAAATGTTTTGAATGAAAACTTTGAGTACAAAAATATAAATAAAGGACCAAATTGTAATAAAAACAATTTAATTTTAAGGACTAAAATAACTTTTTAAAAATTATAGCAACTAAATTAAATATTTTGAAAAATTATTTTTAGCCGATCTTAAATGGGCAATAAATAGTCAAATGTTAAAAAGTAATAAATTTTGAATATTTGACCAATTTAAAATAAAAAATAGGATTTCTCTCCTAAGAAAACTTAGGATTACACTACCTTTATATATATACTAGTCAATATTATTTTTGTTTTTATTTTAATTTTGACAAATATATTTATACTCTATTTTTTTAATTGCTTGTAAGATTCTATTTCTATTTTATTATTTTTAAATATATTTATACTCTATTTTTTTACTTTATTATTTTGAAAAATATATTTATACTCTAGTTTGTTTTATTTGATTTGGGTTTGTATTTTGGAATTTTTTTTTTTTTTGAAATCAAAAGTGAATTAAACTTGGGTGAGTGGGCGACATGTCACCTGAAAATTCTAATTTTTTTTTTTTTACCACCTATAATCCTACGTGGGTTGTAATTCATGGTGTCATCCTACCTGTCTTTGCAAGTTAGATGAACTCAAAATTTTAAATGAAAAAATCTTCTCGTACTAATATGGTTACCGAATCTTAGTTCATGTATTTTTCATTTATTTTTGAAAAAAACATGCTAAAATGATTAAAATGTGTTAAGTTCACGATTTTATGGTACAATAAAACTAATATAATTACAATAAATATATAAAAATAAAAAATAGATAAATATAATTTTTTTTCTAAAATTTTGGGTAAATAGTTCAATTTGTTCTTATATATTTAATATGTTCTTACGTTTTTAATTGCATGTATTACGTTTCGAATAATGTTTTTAAGTTTTTAATTTGTCATTCCGATCAAAATTTTCAAGAATAAGCAATTTTTTGGCCAAAACGCCCTTAATTAAAATTAAAAAAGTCAATTAAAGTTACATGACATGTATACTCTATTTTTTAAGTCTTTCAATTTTAATTTTATTTTTTTACATTTTAACATGAGGCATTTTGATTAAAAATTTATTTATAATCGAAAAAATTCATCGAAAAATTTGATTTAAGATTTAAATATTATTTATAAATATAATAGATGTAATTAAAAACATAAAAACAAATTAAAACTTAACAGAAGGACACACTAACTTATTTACCTAAGATGTTAATTATGATTGGATACCTCGTATGCCGGATTTCAGGGAAGAGGATATACGACATAAAATTGCTTTTAGTCGCAAACTAGATTTCCTTTTACCAAAGAAAAACAGCCGGTTATTAAATGCACGATCATTATGAATTTCAGCGAGGAAAAGACTTAAAAATAGATGTAATTGGACTACACTAGGGCAAGAAAAGGGTAAAAATCAGAGCACATTGTTTTGTTTCCGTTTTATGTGTTATCATATGCATTATGCAAGGCCGCACCTTTTTATCTACATGGGGAAAAGCTACAAGACACTTTTCTGTGAAAGTCAGAAAATGGGTAGAGGAACCCACAAAAGCAGGGTCATGGAGATGCCATAAGCAATAGACAAGAAAGATAGCCCAAAGATCATGGTTGCTTCATGCTTGGATCCATTGCATTTCACTTGTTTCTTGCCTACTAGATATTGGCATTTTGGCATAACAAATATCTAACAAAAATAAATCAACATACTCTTAATTTTCTTCTCTTCTTCCATATATATATATATATATATTTGGAACAGGAGGTAAATCTGTATCATTGATTAAGTTTCAGGACTCAAAAATACAACTGTGAATGCAATCCGATTACTAAACTAGAAAGCCTAGTAAGACAGAAAGAAGGTCCAAGAAAAAGTACAAGCCTAACAGGCAGGCCTAGCCCTTTCCAAAAAGATAGGCTCGAAGTCAAGTATCGCACACATGGCACCTGGTTTTGCTTCTAAGTTATAATTTATGCAAGTTGATTTTCACATGGTCATACTGTGCTTATAAATTGAACAATTTCCGATCCATTTTAAAAAGTGCCAAGCATTTAGCGAAGAGTTTGCTTTTTAGAAAAGGTGGCATGCTATTTCATAAAAATAGATAGCCATAATTGAATAATTTCTTTTCTTACTTTTTTTTTAATAATCAGTTAAAAATAGTGATCAGCTTAGAAGCATAACAGGACCAATGGAACGCTAAATATCATCTCTTTTAACCGTAGCTGCATGTGGAGCTGGAGATGGTTGGTTGCAACCTTCACTAGCAAGAATCCACTACAAATCAATGTCACACCACCTTTTGGAGATTACTCTCAAATGCCAAAGCCGTCCTCTACCGATCTCAGGTAAGCCAGAGCCCCGCATACCATCAGAGGAGAGATAACTGAAACTCTTAACAAATTCCCACTTAAACTCTCTCAAGTGTTCTCTCACACCTCTAGTAAAGTGGAGGAAAGGAGAAAGCCATTTTTTAGAAGAGAAAAGGAAAGAGCATAACTTTGATTAGATTGCCTTCCCTTGAGCGAATCATTTTGGGAAATGTGGTGGCTTTTTCGTTCTGTAATCATATTCACTCAAATATGGATTTCTTCAAGTAAGGTACGACTTATGAGCACTAGTTAGAGGGAAGAGACATGAGAAACTCAGTTTGCTACAGTCAAATGAGGGACTAAAATGATCAAGATTTTTCTTGAAACAAGTTCCCAACTAGGAGGAGGCTTCAACAAATCGCCTCACCAAATAGATACATACAACTTCAAACAAATAATAGCACCAAACACAGAAAAAAAAAAAAAATCCACACTTGAATATCCAAGTTCCAACCACCAATCAAAAACTCTAACAAATTTTACTCTCGTCACTCACTGCATATCCCAACTACTTCCGAGTCACAAAAACCTGAACATGTTCACTCACTCTAAGCTAGTCCAACAACTGCATTCTTGAATTATCTCAACCACCTTCTAAGGTCACTAGTTGAAGAAGGGGAAATCTCACCACCAAAGCTATCCGTACAGCAAGAAGAATAGTTAGATTGTTGGTCGACTAATCCACCAAAACGCGAACCACTCTGACTCTTAAAGCTTGGACTCCTTAAACCATGCCCGTAACCAACACCGCCATAACCAATTCCCACACCGTAAGGGTCAGGGGCTGGATACGAAAGCCGTTTTCTTGCAGACCCAACCCTGTCTCGCTCGGGTGTTGACGGTCTTTGCCTTGGTGCACTCTGTGATCTCAATCTAGCCTTGGCAGACTCAGTTGCAGCCATGTAATTTGGCAATGTAGCAGTACCATTACTACTGACACTAGCACCTCCCCTGATTCCATGCTGATTCAGATTGCCATTATAAAAGTAATTGGACCTTAAACTTGGTGTTTGAGAGGAATTACAACTTCTATCTTCTCTTACACATCGTGGACTCGCTGAACGAACCTGAAGAGGCCTAGTTTTTGATGGGGAGGGTGTAATAGGAGAGTGGTAGAGAGGAGCAGTTTGATGAGCTTTATGGAGAGGAGAAGGAGCAGAGTTTGTAACACCATTGTTTGTTGAATTGGGTCTCTGGTGTTGGTGATATTGGTTTTGGTTTTGGTTTGTTCTTCTAAAATTAGGAGCTAAATATGAGTGAGGTTGGGAGGTGTCAATTTCTACAGTTTTGACTGGGTCTCTATGATCAGTTGAAGCTCTTGCTCTGCTGCTATTATCCCATGGTTTTGAAGGCATCCAATGATCAAGCCATTGTGGTCTTTCATGTAGTTCACCTTCATTTCCCATTGATGGGCTCCTACCATTTCTCCGTATCTTTGATATGGGTTTGAAAAAAGTGAACTAATTAGCTCAAGCTATACTCCTAACGGTACAGAAAACAGAGGCAGTAGAGAAATGTGCAAGATATGAACCTGCTGAGAGAAAGCTTGAGATAAGGTCTTTTCACGCTTGAATGCAGCTTCTTTCCTGCGTTGCAACATGGCCTTGACTTCCTCAATTGTGTGTGGCCGATCATCCCAATCATCTGCAATGCTACTGCCATCTCTTGACTGTCAAAATTCAATTGGACTACATTAGACTCTCAAAGCTTTAAAGTACAAAATCATAGTCATTAAGTAGTGGAAAATTTCTTTCATATTTGCTACCGTTAGTTATTGCATTGAATTGAGAACAAGCTAAGTTTAACCAAATTGAAATTCTAAGCAATGCTTTGAAAAAATAGAACAAATTACCATCGATTTTCTATCTGAAATGTCTTGAAGATATCGCGATTCAAGCACGCTATTGGTGTCACTAAATGCAGATTTCCTGCTGCCTTCATGTGAAAGCCTCAGGCGTTGATCTAGTACTCGAGCCTGCACTCGAACCAGAGCTTGCATGCATCGCAGGGTCATCTTGGCCTGTTTTCTCACATTGTGTCCTCTTACTAAAGCTTGCAACTTCACTAGCCCTTTAAGCGCACGAAGAGCCCGCCTTGCCTGCACACACCACAAATTATCACATACGATCTCTACTAATCATGACAAGTGTTGAAAATTCATGAACGATTCTTTAATATTTGCTATTCAAGAGAGAACAAAATTTTCAGCATTTTCACCTATACATATGCAATATTTGGTTATTACCAGGTATCCTCTAAAAGCAGTTTGAATGACAATGGCCGCATAATGTTCTCTAGGATGATAAGAAGGCCGAGTTAGCCGAGTCACCTCCACCGCCGCCTGGGCAGTGGCTACAGTAGCTTCAGCTGCAGCTGCAGTAGCAACTGCTACAGCAATTGCATGCCTTTGCTCAGCTGCTCCAGCTGCCGACACATGGTCTGCCAGTGCACCATCACCACCACCACCATCTGTGAAGGCGTTAACATGTCCTGCCTTTGATAGGTTATGTTGTGTTACTATTTCTTGATTCGAAGGTTTCCTAAATAGCCATCTTCTCTTCTCTCTCTTCTGCAACAAGAAAAGCTCACAAAAGGGTCAGCCGTTGTTGCTAAAATACAGATCCAGCAACAAAGAAATATTCAGTTTTCAAAAGATAACATTAAATGAGAAGTGAAAAAGACCTTTTCTTCATCTTCTTCTTGGTCCTGGCCAGTCCCAGTAGTCCTCTTGTCACTTTCTTTAGTTGGAGATCTAAAAGCCCTTTTCACAGCAGTTAACCATGAGCTACCTCCCTTCTTCCCCATCAAATTACAAGATAAGAAGGATAAGTTAAACCAAGCTGTTGCATTTACAGCAACCCCTTATAGAAAAACATTATATCAGAAAGAGCCAAAAACTGAGGTAAAGCAAAGATGAGGGGGTCTTGCTTGCCTGATGCTAGTGAGCTTGTGCCCACTTCATAATTTTATTTTTAACTGTGAGTCGTCTTGGACAGGGCAGTACGGGGCTGTGAACTGTGAGAGTAATAAATTAATAGCATTATAACAGTAGAATGTAACGTATACATGTGTACTTTTAATAATATATATATATATATATATATATATATATATATATATATATATATATATATATATATTTATGTATGTTTAAAATTAAATTCGTGCATTTTGGTGGCATGAAATGGAGGACACAGTAATGGTATTGCCAGTGGGTACTCACTGCTTGATCATTCAATTTATGAATGAATTCATTATTTCAGACACAAATATAGTTTTAGCATTGAAGAGGACGTGATGGTGAGAAACTGAGTGTTATCGAGAAGAACGTTGAAAGCATAGTGAGGAGGGATGGAACGCAAGTTGAGAGAGTGAATTTTGCACAGGCCCCAAAACAGCTTTAATTGGGTGTACAAAGGCTCTTTCTTTTTCATTTTTTACTTTTTTGAGTTTCACACTCTTTCTATTTAAAAAAGAAAGGATAAAGTGAACTCCCATGGCGTCACGTGAAAGCAGCAGGTGGAGATAGATCATCAGCTGCTTCAGTCAATAGGCATCCATGTGCTCACATTTTGTACGAACTTTCACTAAAATCAATGGTGATCACACCCTTCCTCCACTATGTATGATTGTATATAGAGAGGCTATTCGGCCTTTTTTTTTCTTTTATTGTTTATTATTTATTACAACTGTACTTTGTGCTAGTTTATGAGTAAGCATTCCTTTTCTTTTCCGTAAATATATGAACTGGAACATAAGAATGGCTTTCCATCTTAGCATGGTCAAAACCAGATTAGATTCTCTGGCTCCCAAATTAATCAATCGGAATGAATTTATTGTCAGAGTTCAAGATTTTTATGTCCTTAATGTGGGATGAATCAAGTACTTGGACTATAATAATAAGAATAATAGCTGGTTTATTGATAAACAAACATACACATAAAAAAAAAAGTTTTACATTTTTAATCATATTAACACAATAAATTAACATTTTATTAAACATGCACTTGCTCCCTCGGAATGTTGCTCATTTACGTTGACCAGATGTGGGTGTTACCTTCAAAAGCCCAGCTTGTGGCTTGATGCTTCGGATGATGCGTGTGATTTTGTTGTGTTGATCAATCTGCACAGGGTAACGCAAAGGAGCTGTTGTTTCAATTTCGTACAAATGAATCATTTCAAGAAATAAAACCTAGAGTAAGGGTGCATCACGCTTGCGACTCATCACCAACTTTTTGGACATCAAGCACTGCATTTCTATCTCGCCAAAACCACAACGTTTCCAGGACATCCCGCATGGTAACATGCCATGTAGAGACAAGAGCAGGAGATTGAATTCAATCCAATCTTTGTATGAATCTCATATCTAAACTCTACAAGAATTCCTATCCAACTGAATCTTTTGATGTTGCTCAATTACTGCACATTATATATATAAAGCAGAGTAGGGGGAAGCTGGAAGACACAAAAGAGGCTGTTCATTCTTGATTTAAATTTACAATTACCTTTCTTATTGCTCATCTCTAAAAAATACATTATATTGTGATTTCCCAAAACTATAGCATATTGACGGAGCGTTGTATAACCCGAGGGCAAAGTTAATTCGTCCACCACAATTTCTGGTGCTTGAGTTTGTTACACCTAAAAAATCTTCACCAATAGTAGACCAGTGCCTTATTGAGGGAAGCTCAGAAACCTTTTTTATTATATGGTTAGGAGTGTTCCACGCTCCATGTTCTTCCCATGTGATGGTCTTTAGAGTAGGACAAGGAAAGATCAACATGATTAGCCGATTGCCCTAACCCTCTAGCAAATGTCAAAAATTCAGCCATAAGGTTATCATCGCAAGAGCCTGGCTTATTCGGAAGCAAGGAAACAAAGGCGCTGGATCCCACCCTCTTCTGTTATTGAGCTCAAGAGCTGAGCCCATTCAATATTATCTTGATCTCCAAAAGATGCTTGGACGCTGGCTTCCCATCTTGGGAAGAAGTGATTCAACAGGGGCTCATGCAAAGCATAAAAGCAACAAGGCGAATTTAGAAAATCAGAACAGGCCCTTGGAAGCCAAAAAAAAAAAAAAAAAAGGTGTTGGATGCTATGAGAATTTTAAGATATTCGTCGAATAAATATCGGTACTTATTTTATAGTCTATTTTGAAAAAAGAGAAACAATACTTATTTTATAGTCTATTTTGAAAAAAATATACACACAGAAGAAAAAAATTATATCCGAAACTATAAAAAATAATAAAAATATTTTTATTTATAGATTTTTTATTTTATTTTATCATTCTTATTTCTCTTTTCTCTTTATGTATATCTCTTTTCAATTGAATAAGTATTAGTAATTACTATTGGGTAACATAAAATTTCTTGGATGCCACAACCCAGGTTCCTTAGATTGCATCCCCCAAGTTTGTGCGATAAGCATCTACCCAACAAAAGAAGCTTGAAAGGAAAAGAAGAGGATTTTATATTTTGCCAGAGACCACAAAACCAACAGCCATGGTAATGAAAATCAAGTGCCCCTCATTCAAAGTGCAAGTTTACTCATTTGTCAATTTATAAATCAAAAGAAATAATAGCAATTTTCATCTAAAAGAATTCTTTTTGAACTTTGAACTCTTGGAAAAAAAACTTATCACCAAAAAGAGATCTCTTTTGTTACTACTATAAAAAATGTGCATGCGATCATCCCTATAGGAAACATTTGAATGATAGCAAAAGCACTATAAAAATCAGAGTAAGCTACCAGTGATGAAGCAAATTCCAGAATATCTTATTGATTAGTAGAATCCACCCTGCTTCCTGCATACAAGCAAATCATAGGCTATATCACTAAGAAAAGAAAATCTTTTGAGATGATTGTGCCTTCAATTTTTATGTTCATGAAGAACAGTAATTTATACATGTTTCTACCTTCTATATTCATGCGATCCTTCTCCTGGTCATATCCAAAAAAATTGTGAATCTCTAATAAATTGGTGAATGATGTACACACTCGATCAAGGAATAGAGAAGAGCCAGTACCCGGCAAAAAATCAAAACTGTGATAGCGAGAAACCAACCTGGCAAAAATCATGTCAAGCCAAAAAAAAAAAAAATTCCACTACTTTTGTTGGCAACGACAAAGCAGTAAAAATATCTGTATCTGAATATCATTCTTTGCTCAACTACAAGTCTGGAACAGATGAGATCACCATTGTAGTGGCATCTGAATCATGTCCTGAGGAGGATTTGAAAGCTATCGAGATTCACTGCCAACTTCTTTATTACTCTTATAAGAGTCGCCAAAAGTTGAGGATGTCCACAGTGGGGACTCCTCAACTGGTACCGGCAATGATGGAGGTTCTGGTAGTTCAACTAATGAGAATGAGAAGTAGTAGTGAAATCAATGCTGATGTGAGGGAGAAAAACCACTCTTTTTAGTTTTGAAGCTTTTGTATGCGTCTTTCTTTGTTTATAGCAACTATCTAGTTTCTTGCTGTCGTTCTATTTTCCATTTTCCATTTTTTCTGTTGAATGTTTAACTGTTATGCAGTGATTATCTTTAATAAAACTGGTTTTTCTGTCAATTTCACATTGCCTTTCTTGTTGGAGGTTATGAACTTTTATATACTGTTGCCAATTAGGTTCCAAGGAGCTCTGTCCATTCCTTGCCAAATATTTATCACAAAATCCATATCAATGTTTCAAACAAAGAGTTTGCATGATTGCATGCAGTTTGATACAACAGAATCAGATTTTTTTTTCTTAATAAGATGAGAAATATATTTTGATAAAGGAGTCAGAAATAAATTTTGATAAAAGTGTCAATATACAAGCAAGTCCTGTACAAGATTATAGCAAAATAACCCAATATAACCAGGCTATTGCATCCTGCGATCACTAGAAGAAGAGAAAGGAAGATCAACAGAATTTTCAAAACCAACTCCAGCAGTATGTTAATTAAATCCCAAACCAGCAGGCTATTTTCAGCGGCACATCAGTGCTAGATCAATCGCAAGGACAGATGATCAGCACGATGAAATCGAATGTGGGTTCAATTAACCTGGTCAAATCTTTAATAGCATAAACTTTTGCAGAGATAATCAACTAGCTAAAGTTGGTTTGATCTGAAACATAGTCTAGTGATGGATTAAAAATTAGACGTGTTATGACATTGATTTAGTTCAAAAAGTTAACCTAATAGAACGACTACATTCAACTCCTTTGTTCTTTATTTCATTAGAAATGCTTCTTTATTACAATGAAATTTATTTTTTTTCCGTGATGTTATGGAAAATAATTGACCTGATCACACCTCTAACCACTAGACCTTCTCCAAAATGTAAACTATGTGCCACCATAAGATTTGAATAGTATTATTATATGTATTTTTTGTTTAGGACAAGCCGATGTCAGACGAACTTTGCAATTTGCAAGGCATGGTTGAATTTAGAACTGAAATTTTTAAGAATTTGGACTTGAAATTTTGACTAAGGTATATTGCAGATTTTCAGAGTAAAAATGAGAAAATTATGAAGAAAAACATCATCCATTTATTTACATATTTAGTCTGAAATACAATAATTAACAAAACTAATCGGTTTTAAAGTACATTTAATTATTGGTCAAAAAAAAAAAAAAGGAAAAAATCTCTTAACTTTTTTTTTCATGATCCAAATCCTTCACTTTTTTTTTTAAGTCCGCAATTAAGTTTTTCTATCTTGTGAATCAATTTTAGATGATATAAGAGACATCTTGAAGCCATTAAAATAACTACTCATGTTATGAAATTCCTAAACACATAACACATGACATTATTTTATGGTTTCTTGTGTCTCTCATGTGTGTCCAATGCGCATTGAGATTGATCAATGAAAATTAAGAACTTAGTTACAAACCAAAAAAAAAAAAAAAAAGTTAGGGACTCATATTTAAAAAAAAAATTAGAAACTGTATTTTATTGACTAATAGTTCCGGGTATTTTATAAGTTATTAGCCTAATAATAATAATGATAAATAAGATCATGTGATAGAATTTGAAGTCCGAAAGATGATCATGTGGCCTTCCGGCGATGCAAGAATACATTGGACACACAAATTCCATTTCCTACACATTGATCGCATGATCAGTAGTGCATATTACTTTGTTCGGGAAGACATGTTAATTTCTACCTTCTGAATCCATGCATTCTTCTCGGTGATCACCAAAAACAAATGAAATAGCTCTATAAATAGGTCCACAGTGGAAAGATATACAGATATACCAGTTAGAATTGAACTTTGGCAGAAGAAAGAAAGGATATATAACACAAATGATGTCGAAGGAAGTAAAAGTAATTTCCACCACCATCAGTGGCGGCAATAAAGTATGAAACTTGCTGTATTTGAAGGAGTCATTGCTCAACAACGAGCCTGAAACAAATGAGGTCACCATAGTAGTGGCATCTGAATCATGTTCTGAAGAGGATCCGACCGCTATTGAGCTTCACTGCCAGCTTATTTATTACACTTACTGGTTCGGCACCAAATTGATGGTGGTGATGTTGGGAAGTCCTCAGCAGGAACTGGCAAAGATGACCCAGGTAGCTCCACTAATGGGGATGAGGAGAAGAAGTAGAGAAACCAACACTAATATAACATGGATGAGAACAACTCTTTTGTAGTTTTGAAGTGTCTGTATGTTCTTATTTGTTTCAGCTCCCTCCTCGTCTACTACCCTTTGTTTCTTTCTTTCTTTTCTTTTGGATGTTTAATGTGTTGTTAAGTGGTCATCTTCAATAAACTTGGTCTCTCTCTCCATCCTTATCGTCTTTGTTTTGAATAGAGGGAACTGCCAGGGCAACAACTTGCAACCAAACTAACAACTTGTTTCAGGGAGGCTTTGTCTAGTTCCAAACCAAATGTAAGAGAAGTTACAGTGGTTAACCAGTATTCAATTCATAACATCAGAAATTGAACAAATGTTTCAACCACATTTTTTACATGGTAATTTAATATTCATGAACAGCCTCAGGATAGAAAATTTTAATTGCTATACTGAACCAAGTAAAGGGAATCTTTGGAGTGCCAGAAAAGTGGTTCCATCTTAATCTAATTTTGGAATCTTTTTGCTAATGATTTACTTTTGTTAAAGAGAGAATGAAAACAATTCTTCCCAATAAGTCACATTTCAGAGGCGTTCTGGTCTTTCATTTCGATTAGAACTTGACGTATATGTATAATTTACACATGTTATCCACATTCATGATTCATAACTTTAAAGAAACTCCAACGAAAATCATAAAAGGGGCTTTTTATTTCTAATCATTCTGGTATAAAAAAGGGTATGAGAACAACCATCGCATCCTCAATTTTAATTCCAAACTCTTTAACCATGGTTAGCATAGTAATTGAAAGAGTAACTCATCACCTCTAAACCAAGATGTAAACCGATAGTCAAGAAGACTGTCGAAGATTCTTTCCTACCAATTACTACTAAAAGCATGTCTTCATCCTACAAGTTGAAGAAGAGATCTGACCAATAGTCACAGGAAACTACAGTCATGAAGCGAATTCCAGGATATCTGATTAATTCATCGAACCCACCTTAGCTACTGGTTTGAGCTCGGAGAAAATACTCTTCACATCCTCAAATACCTCATCAATTGATCTTTGAGCATCAATCTAAGACCGTGAATACAAACATTAATAACCATCATAATAACGATAGAAAAGAAATCAATTCAGGTGTAGATTATCCTAGACACATAAAATATCCAAAGAACTGGAAATGAAAGAAAATTTCATGACTATCCTTTTATGCTTTCATAATCCTACATCCAAATCAGAAGCGATTTTAAATCACCGATGCAAAGCAATGCATTGAAATAATGTAATTTTTATACAGTCAGTAAGTTTCTGTCAAAAAAAGAAAAGAAAAAAATACCTTCTGAACCTTCCCCTTTGAGTTGTAGTAGTTGATTACAGGTACGGTTGATTCGAAATAGACTTCAAGTCGCTTTCTTATTGTTTCAATATTATCATCCACCCTTCCCTTCAAAAGAAAAGAAGAAATTCATGAAGAGATGCATAGGAAGTGATTCAGCAACAAGAATGTGCAACAAGCTTACCTGGTTCCTGTTCAGAATACGTTTTGTCAACTCCTCTTCAGGACAATCGAAAAATAGTACACGTTCTGGTTCAATTTTCATCTGCATGATGATTACAGAAACGAAAAATTGCAAGATTTCTTACCACAAAATGACCCAGGTAAAAGTACAAGACTACAATGTTCTGCATGGCAATCTAGAAGGAACCACAAAAATCATACAATTGTAGGAACGAATGGATTTCAAAATTTGGAAGTAATAGAAGCAGCAGATTATAGAACTTTGAATTCACGTAACAAAATTACAAGCCTACAATGTTCTCAAATGCAGTACGATTTTCTTCATTGCGTGGGAACCCATCAATGATAAATCTCTTGTTATCACTTTGCTGCATCGCCAGTTGTAGAAGCTTCACTGTTATCTCAGAAGGGACAATCTTTCCTTCTTTCTTGAAGTTTTGAATCATTGTTCTGTGGAAACGACAGGCATGGCAAAAGAATCTTGTGAACATAAACACTCTACGGTACAGATGAAGAGCAATTTGTGAAAAATGCAGCCAACAATTTATGACCAGCAAAACAATATAATAACAAGAAAATTAGTAATGGTGACAATGTGAAAGTCATGATGCAATAAGGTATTGCTGTGTACTTGAAAAAATTGCATACGATAAAAATTAAAGATTGATAATCCAACCCGTTTTCAGATTCAGACTCAATTTCTGCTTGAAGAAGATCACCGACGCAAAGATGAGCAGACCCAAATTGTTCAACAATTTTGGGACATTGGGTACCCTTTCCACTGCCCGGACCACCTGCCAAAAGAGTAATCAAAATCATTGAATTTCAACCAATTGAGATGACAGAATGACAAGCTAACAGATCAAGTCCCAGAAAAGCACATATGAGCACCCAGAAAAGAAAAAAGAAAGAAAGTATACATCCTTAGATCATGCAGATAAAATCCCCGTGCTCTACATCCTATCTTTTTTGCATTCCTTCTTTTACTCTACAGTTCTTTGATTTAACCATTTCCCCTAACTGGAAATTTAATTATACAGCATCCAAAAAAGACTTGACAATTCTAGATGCAACACCCCAATCCCCCTTCTCTTCCAAACCCCAAATTGTGATATTTAAGTCATAATGAAAGAATGGCTTACAATGTACTTTTACAACGGCTAAAATTACAGTAGCAAATTGCCAAAGAGGTAACACATTGGCTTATGATGGTAACATGGCCACGTTTTTCACCATAAGAAATGAAATAATTATCACAAGGAAAGCAATTTTTTGAACATAAACAAGAATTATTCTCTTTCACAACAACAATAACTTCAACCATGAGAAGTATGGTGAAAAGGACAGATCATAACCACCAAGCCCTCCCAACAATATTACATCTATCGTTCACTCAATAAGAAGAATTCAAACTCAGAACCTTCAATATCACGAGCCCAGGTTAAAAAGCTGTCCCCCTCTCTTTTTGCCCACTGATAACAACAAGGGAACAGAAATAGATAAAGATGGTGTTTAGTTCCTTACACCAGTACTTAAAAGACGAAAGAAATAATCATTTAGCACAAATTAAGCGGTGAAGGAAGTGATAGAGAATGCTCACCTAAAACAAATATCACCACAGTGGTTTCCTGCGGAAAAGTTTCGCTTCCATCCTGCCAGTCCTGCTTCCATCCTGCCAGTCCTGCCAGCAAGAGACTAAATGTTCACCCAAATAGTTATGGCAACAAAGCATACTAAAAATCTAGGAATTCTAATAACTGGAAGAATATTGCATTACATATATGTACAAAAATTAGCAAAATCAAGAAAATAATATATGGCCACTTCGAATATTTAAAAATCTTATTGAATAGTAACAGGAAAACTCGAATAAATGTACTTATTGTATACCTTTTGAGTTGGGAATTTAGAGGTCGCCATTGAATTTTTTTTTTTTTTTTTTTTTTTTTTTTTTAAAAAAAAGCAACCTGTTACATAGGAAGAAAATGAAAAAGGCAAAATGTAACTAAATTAAGCTAAGGAGAAAAGGTAGACGACAATAAAGATTATTATTGTTATTATTATTTTTTGAACAACACAAAAAATGGTATTCCTGAAAAAACATGTAAGTTCTAATTCATTACATCAAATGATATAAGAAACAGAAAGAAGGAAAAAACCTTAGCTTTTGTTTTCGTTTTTTTGTTTATTCAGGAGAAACCAGAAAAGCATGGACGCAGAAGAGGTGTACTAGTGATCAAAGTTCTCCAACTTTGGGATTTTGCCGAGTTAATGGTAACTTAGTCCTTTAGGTATTGTTTGCTAATCATTAATATAATAGTGGAAATGAAAATACGGGAATCGAAATGAAAATTAAGGAATCAAAATGACATTTATATTCCGTGTTTGGAATACTAATGATGAATCGGAATGCAATTTAAATTTTTTAATATCTAATTTTTTATACAAATAAAAATAATGATTAAAAAATAATTTTATTAAACTATAATGATTGTAAAAATAATAAAAATGATAGTAGTAGTTCTAGTTGTGGTAGTGATGAGAGAAGTGGTAGTGGTGCTTGTGGTGGTGGTGGTGATGATGAATGGTGGTGGTGGTGATGATGGTAATAGTGATAAATATAGTTAATAAACAATAAATAAATAAAATATATTATTATTTTGAAAAAATTTTTTATTTCCATTCCTTATTTTTATTCCCACATCTTATGTGGGAATGAAATTGTGTGTAAATTTTTATCTTCATTCCCACTTCATTTCTTTTAACCAAACAACTACAATATAGGAATAAAACTTTCATTTTCATTCCTATCACTCTACTCTTGATTACCAAACAACACCTTAGTTTAATGAAATTGATTATTCGTTCTTATATATTTAGAAACTACATATCTAATCCCCATATTTTAATTTTTGTTTTACAAATTAGTCCTTTCATCAATTGCATATTGATTTTCAAATTAATTTTTTAAAAAATAAATAATTAGTAAGTGTGAGAAATTTTAACGAAGATAGAAGGTAATTTTGGAACAAAATTTTACTAAACTGAGGAATGAGGATTGCTAAAGCTAACAAGTGGACTATTTAGTTATATAAATAAATACAAGGACTAATTAATCATTTTGATAGAATAAAATGATTGAGTTATAATTTACTCGATCAGCCTTCATCCATCGCGGCTATGGATCTTGTCACGCCATTTAAATGTTTGGGGTTGTTATATGTGAATAGCCCTGCTACTGACAGCCCATTAAGTTCATACGTAGGCTCCTTGATGCAATCGGCCCAGTATCTTGTTATTCTAATTTGAGTCTGCTTCCCGAAAAATGGATCCATTTGGACGCTTAAAAAAACATGCCATATACAACTCATGTAATCTTTTATTTTATAAGCCCGTTTTAGTGACATTGCTTGGGCCATATTTTTATTCAAAGTAATAGAATATATATATATATATATTGAATGTACGTAATTTTAGATATTTTTGTTAAATATGTGATGGCCAACTAATTTGATAATATTTTGTAAGGAGTGGAATTATTTAATTACTTTAAGTTTTATTGCATCGATTTGTACCTGTAAACAATATACTTCAGCTATCATTTTGAAATGGAATATCCAAATACTTAGACACAAAGATATCTGGCTCAAATAGAAAATTTGATACATTTTCCAAAACAATATTGACAAATATAATTTTGATCAGTGATTCAATGTTTGAGCCTCTATTGATGACTGGTGCATTTCTGGAATCAATACCCAGCCAAAATCTTGATAACCATGACCTAATCCTAATGATGTGTTATATTTTGTCTCCTAAGATAACTGATTAATGATTTGATACTCTCTCTCCTATGTTTCAAAAAAATTATTTTCTTTGACTCTTCACATAATTTATATATATAAAAAAAAAATTAGTATTTTTTGTTTAAATTTTTCTCAAAATAATTTTTTTAAAAAAATTTCTTAGTTATCAAATTTTATCTTAAATAGACTAATATTAATTTAAAGAAAAAATTTATCCAAAATTAAGGTGGTAAGTCATATAAAAAAATCATTAAGTTAATTAATAATCAAGTTTAAAACAATTAAGAAAAAATAACAGACTAGTAAAAATATTTTACTCTCAATATTTTGTCATGCAATAAAATTCTTATAAGAATAAATATTTTTTTATGTAAATGTTTTTTTTGAAATTTTAATATTAAAAATATTTGTATGTATAAAAAATATTATTTTTAATAAAGAATAAAAATGAAAGAAAAATTAATTTTCTTTATAATTAAAAGTATTTTAAGTAAGTATATTATTTAAAATTTTGATCAAATAAAGTTTGAGATAAATATAAATAAAAAAGAGAAATAATTGTTTGTGACAGAATAAGTATCTATTTTCGTTTTTTAAAGGATCCATGTGGGATAGCTATGTAATGCGAAGGAATAGTGAAATCCAAGAGAGAGGGTAAATCAGTGGCAAATCAAGATAGGTCAAAAGACGCGTTAGTTGACATGGAGTGGCCAAAAGTCAATGTCGACCCTTGGTTTGCCCATGGGGATCCGAACCAGCTACCAACAATTGAGGGATTGTGTTTACAGCATAAAACAACAATTGAGGGATTGTGTTTACAGCATAAAACAACAATTAAAATAGCATTTTTTTTTCCGTTCTAATGTCCTTATCCTGTTCCACTGTAAATTGAACAAACATTTGTTTGGAACCAATCTTCTATATGTTCTCATCCCCGTACTTGCTGATTGTGTACCCATTCACCTTACTTTAAGTGAGAACAAGCGAAAAAATCCAGCAATATGCCATGACACGTCTTATCATTGACGCTCTAATGAGTAAAGAGACCATGTTCTAAGTGAAAATTGAGAAAAACGAGATTCTACCTAAAACGTAAACTGAAAAAAATAAAATAATAATAAATAAATCCGGCTAAATCACTAATATGAACGACCCAAACGACCATATCACAAATAACAAGATCAGATGATCGAGTTCGGTCTGATCAACTGAGAAAAAAAAAACCCACATAGCACATATATTTAACGAGAGTATGCCTCCATGATCCATTTTTGTCTAGCAAATGCCAATCTGAACGAACTTACATTCTTTCAACTGTGATATGTGAACATTAAGAATATTTATCTTTTAAATATGTGATGAATTATTGATAATAAGAAAATAGACTATTATATCTTTATTTTTATGCAATTTGATAATATTTTTTACTACATAAACAGTTTCAAAACTTAAGGTTTTTTTATTCTAGATCTCTCTACTAACTGTCGTTATTCATAATCTCTTTTGTGCCTGCATTACTATATTTTTAAGCCAATATCTTTTTTTGTACATTAACTTCATTAGAGAGTTCTCTAATGCATCCAAAAACTTGTTTTGTAAATATTACAATTACTTTAATCTTCATTTACTATCAAACTTCACAATTCTAATGGTCAAGAAAAAACTATCTCATCACCTATCATCTTCCAAATTTACGATCTTATCACTTTTAATATTTATAAATTAGAATGTTTAGTTTCTTGCTTGCCCATATTAGCCATTGCAATGCATAAACTTATTGCGATTGAGACAGATTTGTATTTGGCTCAAATTTGTCTCAATCGCATCAAACATCTGTCAACTCTTTTGATTTTCTTAATATGATCTTTGTATTTTTTTATCCAATCCTTCTCTATACTTTTTTTTTTAATTTGGCCCTTCTTATTGTTTTTAGTCAATTTTTTGATTAAAATAGACAATTGTCATTAAAAATTTCATGTAGCATGACACGTCACACTAATTTATCACATGAAAAAATAAAAATAAAAATAAATTTTAACAAAATTCGTTGAAAATGAAAAAAAAAAACCATCTCTTCTTCTTCTTCGCCCTTTTATATATATATATATATATATATTTATTGGAACGAGATTTTCGTTCCATGAAAATGCCATGAAACCCATTTGCAATGTCATATGGATCTTCTGTGACAAAGAACATCCATTGGAGAAAATAAACTTGGATACTAAAAATGGAGAAGCAGAAAAAGCCCAAATCTCATGGTTCACTTCTAGATGCAAAATTTATCCTTCTCTTATTCTCATCTTTTTTTTTCTTTTACTTTATTTTGTAATTTACTACAAAAAAAATCGAAAAAGAAAAAAAGAAAAAAATATATAAAATACAAAACAAAAAAAAAGATTGAGGAGTGACTTATTCCTTAACCCTAGAAATCTCCCATAAAAACAAGAGCCACAACCATTCCTCCTACCCCCCTCAAAAAAAAAAAAAAAACATAGAGCCCTAACCTCTCACTCATCTCTTTACCCACCGGTTAGCTTCCCTTTCACTTCAACCACCACGAGCAATCGCTAGACATCCAACCACCCTCCATCACCCTAAAAACCTCGATAAAAACAACCACAAAAATCACCTATTTAAAAAATTCCAAACGAGTACTTAAAAACAACCCAAAACTCGTCGGTTTGACTCGTTTACCTTGTCGTGACTTCCTCCTCCAAATCAACCATCTTTGGATCAATCTTGACTCCAATCACCACTATCAATGGATAGCCCATCATCAAATTTATCGATCTTGATCATTTAGAGGAGGAGACATTAGAGGGGGTCGAAATTGAGGAGAGAAGGTCGATGACCCGACCTTTATAGGGACTCGACTAATTCTCAAAATTCCAGCCAAAACACTAACTTTCGCCACCACAAACCCGGTTAGTTGACTCTTGTGAGTGGTTCCCTTTTAGTATTGCAACCAAAAGCCACTAAAAAATGGACTAATCAACAACGACCCTTTTTCAATCTGTTTTGTGCAACCCAAAAAATTTGGCCAATTCTATATAAATTGGACCCCCTAACCATTATAAAAATGCTCCTTTCAACCTCACAAGTTTATTGGTG